GCATTATGCTAATATTTCCACATAGTGAGGTAGATATGTGGGGGCGTGTTAGAACGAGCCGTTTTAGGGGGGCGTGGCAGAGTCTTAACTTTGATAAAGAATATCTCTTTGGTTTTGAGACTTTAGTCTTTGCAACTTCAGGGATCTTATCTATGCACAATCAGCTTGTAACACTCCAAAGAGAAAGGAAAACTTGAAATCGCATCATATGACCCCTTTAACTAGTGGTCAACCGATATAGGGACTGGAAATATATAGAAATAGAGAGTGGGGTGGCCAGTGTAATGTTAATATATAGCCTAGATGTGACAAGAGTCAAAAATGATTGTGATCAAAAAGTTTGATCGCAAATGCAACTTAAAACGGTAACGTGAGATGTTGTTGTTTAAAATGACTGTTGCGGTTTTATTATTTACATTTAATCATTTAGCAGATGCTTTTATCCAAAGCGACTTACAAATGAGAAGAGCAAATAGAAGCAATTCAGACCAATAGGAGGGCAACAGTATACAGTTGCATAGTGCTGTAACAAGTCTCAGTTAGTCTAGCACAGTACACATACCAGTTTTTCACTGCTTTGCCAGCATAAATATTGATTTATGAATGTCTGTCAATGGAAAAGGATGCTTTGTAGCCAGATGGTGTCATGCTAATCAGCCAAACTTTGGTTAAGCCAACACGGTTATTGGCCATGCCGATGATCTCAAAATACCAAATATCAACTGATTTATCAGTGAGGTTGATACGTTGGTTTATCTCTAATAACAGCAGCCAGACCCAATCAACACTATAAAGTACAGCATTTGTTACAATCAATATACAAAAATAGATACCGAGATTAAACGTGCTCTTTCAGCATTGGATGTAGTAAATCTCCTGATGAAATGTATGTTTGTGTGTGCGCCAGGCGGTTGAGGAGTTCCTGGCTGAGCTGAGGTGTCGGGAACAGTCTCAGAATGCAGATCTTGTCAGTCAGATGACAGCGGTTAAGTTCCTTGTGGCAAGAAAGTTTGATGTTTCCAGAGCCATAGACCTCTTCCAAGCTTACAAGGTAACGTGAAAAGTGTGTGTGGGTGTGTGTGTGGTTGCTCAGATGATAAAATTCAGTGTAGTGCATGAGAGAGTTCATTTACATTCTAATGCTTCTGTGTGTTTACAGAACACCAGAATAAAGGAAGGCATCTACAATATTAACCCAAATGAGGAGCCTTTAAGGAGCGAGTTACTTAGTGGGAAATTCACAGTTCTGGTGAGTATGGTTTCACATGAACACAATGTGTGGATGTGTGAACATTACTGATGTCCAGGCCAGCTTTTTGGATGCTGTTACCAGTTTACTGTTGCATTTCTGCAGCAGGAACATTTTAGTTGTACAGATTGGAGATGGCATGATTTGTAGACTCTTTTGGCGCTTTTCCACTGCATGGCACGGTACGGCTCGGTACGGTTCACTTTTGGGGGGTTTTCCACTGGGTACAGTACCTGGTACTTTTTTTAGTACCACTGCGGTTGGGGTTTTGTTGTCTGTTGCGGAAGAACAGACGTTCCTCTTGTTGATAGCAGAGGAGCTGATCCAGCGAGAGCTTGATGGGGCGACGGGGAGTGAAAAATTTTTTTTTTAGGAGTCGTGGTAGTAGAGGTGGCGCAACTATAACGACATGTGAATAATCCCGCCCACTCTAAAGCGGTATTGAACTGCAGTGGAAACGCAAACCGTGCCGAGCCGTGCCGTACTGAGCCATACCGAGCCATACCGAGCCGAGTCGTACCACGCAGTGGAAAAGAGCCATTTGTGTGTGTCAGACTGGCCCTCTCAGTCAGATATTAAAAACTATTTCAAATTGTATCCGCTTTCAGTCAGTTGGTGCATGATTTATACGCGAGTGTGATGAGATTTTTTAAAAATCAATTATCAATTTTAAACTTGAATATCAGTTTCGAATTGGCTCACTGTGTAAAAATGCTGTTGGAACACTTCCATTAAGAAGTTTGTGGTCATTAAGATTTTTTAAAGCAGTTAATACATAATTTATCGAACGTGTCAGCAACAACATGTGTAATGTTACAAAAGGTTTGTATTTTTTTATTCATTTGAGGATCCTGAAAATGTATTAGGTTTCCACAAGATATTTAGCAGCAAAACTGTTTTCAACATGGATAATAATCAGACATTTTTCTTGAGTAGCAAATCAGCATATTAGAATGATTTCTGAAGGATCGTGTGACACTGAAGACTGGAGTAATGATGCTGGAAATTCAGCTTTGCATCACAGGAATAAATTATATTTTAGAATCTATTCAAATAATATATAGGAAAATAATGAATTGAAATTGAAGTAATATTTCATAATATTAGTAATATTTCACAATAACTTACTGTATTTTTTTATCAAATAAATGCAGCATCGGCAGACTTTTTTCAAAAACATCGTAAAATCTTGCCGACCCCACACTTTTGAGCTGTAATCTATATATGCATTTGCAAAGACGGTTAACTAGAAACTCTCAGTAAGTAACCCAAACTTTGGCAAAGCGCAGCTGCAGGAATTTGGACACAAGAATTTTTAATCACTTTCAGATTATGCTAACCAAAAACAACGCAAGTTGAGATCATTCATATTTACAGTCCCTGTAAATAAAGCATAAAATAAAGGCCACCATCATTGCTAGTGACGGCTAAGGTAATTTGATCTGTGATTTCACACCATCTCACACAGAGCAATTCCATGATCTTTGTTTAGTCTGGACGTTACTGTTTGTTTCAGTAATTTTTCATGCAGGGTTGTGCTGTATACAGAGTTTGCTCAAGTGTTTGTGTAGGCTGTTCTGATGTATTCATCACGTCTTAAACAGTTTTCAGAGCACTGAGCAAGCAAGAGAATTATTCCAATGATATAAAAAATAATCAGCATTAATGCAACTTTTGCAGTACATTTGACTGTTTTTGCTTGTAATGTGTGTCTGTGTATTAGTTGTGCATATGTTTTTACAAGTTGTGTATGCATTAATTTGCTTCTGTGTGTATAGCCCGGCCGTGATGCGAAAGGTGCGGCTTTGGCGCTTTTTACAGCACGTCTCCATCGCCCAGAACTCACTACCCATAAGGCTGTTCTTCAGGCCATTATATATCAGCTGGACAAGGCCATCGAGAGGTAAAATAGACCACATCCATAAATCTGAAATCTGATCAAATTGAATGTGTTTAACAGCTCTGCATCTTCATCTAAAACATCTTTCTCTTCCCCCAGTGTTCAGACACAGAGAGACGGGCTCATTTTTATCTATGATATGACTAACTCCACATATGCCAATTTTGACTATGAGCTTTGCGTCAAGATTTTGAATCTGCTTAAAGTAAGTGTTTTTGTGCTGTCAAGACCATCTATCTGTTTCATACTGCGTTCATATGGTGTTAACAGAACTCAGTGGGGTTTGGATATGTAGGAAGTTTTTCATGTCATCTGTATTAACTGCTGTACTTGTAATTTGTGGAGAACTGGAGCTTTATTAATATTCAATCACATACAATTATGCTTGGTTGATGTATTGAAAATTCACAGTATATCGGGGATAATATATGTTGTCAACATGTTATGCCAGCATTGCACACATTGCTATGATTTTTATTGACTTTTTATTTGTCTAAAATATAGATTTCATAAAGATTGTGTCATTACACTTGTTTCACATTCCTTACTTGTCTTGCAGCTGGCAAATGTGTTCAGGTGTTTTCAGTTGTGTCTCTGAGTTCAGTAGCAAAAGCTGTTTTTTATTTATAAATTTTTTTAAGTTGATAATATTGTTGTTTATTATCACATTATTTTTGTTCATATACTCTACCGTTCTAGTTTGGGTTTGCAAAGATATTTAATATTTTTGAAAGAAGTCTTTTATGCTCACCAAGGCTGCATTTATTTGATCAAAAAGAGAGTATAAAAAATAATTAAATACTGTTTTAAATCACAGTTTTTATTTTTTTATTAAAAACGTTTTCTGTTTTAATGTATTTTAACATGCAATTTATTCTTGTGATGGCAACAGTCTTCAGTGTCACATGAACCTTCAGATATCATTCTAATATGCCGAGTTGATGCTCAAGATTATTATTTTCGCTAATGTTGACAACAGTTGTGCTGCTTTATATTTTTGTGGAAAAATATATTTTGTAACAGTGTAATGGTCTTTACTGTCCCTTTTGATCAATTTAACCCTTTAACTGTCACCCGTCCCCTCTGTGGGATGCCTAAGTTTACTTCACTATATTACAATTAAATCCTAATCTAGTTTACTGTCGGTCGTTTTTGTGATTTAGGGGGCTTTCCCTGCTCGTCTGAAATGCGTCTTTATTGTGTCGTCTCCGCTGTGGTTCAGAGCACCATTTGCGGTACTCCGTCTGTTTGTGAGAGAGAAACTGAGAGAAAGGGTATGTCTAGAGCTCTGTATATGCAAACACTAAACCTTTTTAAATGGACAACGCTATATTTGTATTTTTAAGGTTGCAACACTTTGAATGTTTGTATGCATGTGATACCTCCACAGGTGTGCACTGTAAAAGCCCACGAACTGGTCAATCACATCCCAGTCAGCTCCCTTCCAGAACATTTGGGTGGCTCGTCACAGTATAGTCACATTGCCTGGATCCAGTCCTGCGTCAACTCCAGCCCCAACCACCCCAATAACTCTCCCTACGTCACTGGGGACTGCTTGGGCAGTCTCCTCCACTCCTACTCCATGGAGCATGGCCAGAACACTTCAGGAGACCTCTTAACTGCCAATACTTCAGGGGCCACCCTCCTGGGGGACGGCCTGAACTCAAACTGCCCCATACTGGATGACGGCAATGCCAACCTGCAGAACCACAGGACTGCGGGGCATGCGCATTGGAACGGCTCTGTACTGCCAGGTTCAGGGGGAATCTCGGGGTCCAACGCCAATGTCGTAAATGGGCGTGGCCGGCAGCCACCCCCACAGTCAGACACGCCCCCAGACACGCCCCTGCATCAAAAACACACAGCTGGTGCAATAGTACCAGGAGGTGGAGGGACTATGGGTATGGAAGGCGCATGTTTGGACGACAGAAGGCAGGATGGCAATGGTGCTGAGGACATCCAACAGGATGTGGAGTTTCTGGAAGAGGAAGTGGATGGAGGGGATGGCATTCCACCCCTTCCACTGAAATCAAGGCTGCCGCCCCTCCATCACAGCCCCGCCCCAGATATGAGCTGGTTACCGGGAACGACGACGGAAACGGCTGCGCTGTCGGTGCATGCGGCTGAGCCAGGCGGAATGAGCGTGCAGGATCTGGTGCAACACGTGAAACGTAAAAAGAAGAAGGGCATTTATCAGGAGTACGAGGAGATCCGCAAAGAACCTCCTGATGGAACCTTTGACTACTCTAAGTGAGTGACATTTGCTTTTGAGAAATGGCTGTAAAGATGATACGTTTACAGACAAAGAAGTGTTTGCTTATATAAATGTTTATTCTCACAGGAAAGCTTCTAACCAGATAAAGAATCGCTACAGTGATGTCCTCTGCCTTGACCAATCACGTGTTCGACTCTGTCCGCTCAACAATGAGGATGATGAGGTCAGAGTAATGCCCTTTTTCCTTTGTGATCTTCTTCATGATTGTCATCGTTCAGTGCAGTGTTATTTTAGTGTAGTATTATTTATATACTATTACAGTATTTAATAATATTTTGAATTCACTTTTATTTTAACTTTTTTCATTTTTTAACTTTTAGTAATTTTGTTATGTGCTTTTGTCATTTTTATTAGTTTTTTTACTTTTATATTTTTATGTAACTTTTTAATTTATTTGGATGTCAGTTATAGGTTTAGTCATTTTAGTACTTAATTCAAATAAAATGTTTTAGTTTGTTTTTAATCTAATATTTTTTATTCACTTACCTAAAACTTTTTTTTTTGGTAGTTTGGTTCAACACTGGTTCATTCTTCATCAATTTGATCGTTTGCTTTCAGACATCTGACTACATAAATGCAAGTTTCATGGATGGTTACAAGAGGAGTAATGCTTACATCGCTACTCAGGGTGAGACGCTTTGTTGGACTAAACATTGTGTTGTGAAGTACACATACATGCATGGTACAGATGTCAGTGGATGTGTGTAAATGTAAATGTTTGGGTTGTTTCAGGGCCTTTGCCAAAAACATTTGGAGACTTTTGGCGAATGGTGTGGGAGCAAATGGTTTTAATCATTGTTATGACAACAAGGTTAGTTTCCTTCTGTGAAAAGTTAAGGAATGTTTTAATGATGCTTTAGCAGGATTTTGGACAGGACAGTGTAAGGCTCCAACTAACAACAATACCATTCTAAAGTTATGGGTCGATAAGATTATTATAATTAAAAATAAATAAATTAATACATTTGTTTATTTAGCAAGGATGCATGAAATTGATTAAAAGTGAGAGTTTTTTACCTTTATGTTGTTAAAAAATATTTCTAATATTAATGTAGTTCTTTGTGTGCATGAAAGAATTCTGAAATTCATGAAAACCATGCAGCGTCATGGTGTCCGCAAAAAAAATTAAGCTGCGTAACTGTTCAATATTGATAATACAGCTGGTAATACATCAGCTGATAATACAACTCTGAGAACACCAAATCAGCGTATTGGAAGGATTTCTTAAGACACTGTAGACGAGTAATGATGCTGAAAATTCTTAATATATTAAAAAATTCCTGCAAAGTATAATATTTTACAGTATTTCTGTATTTTTTTAACTATGATGAGCCCGAAGTGACTTCTTTCAAAAAAATTTTTTAAAAATCTTACCGACTCTACACGTTTGAATGGTATCTGTCAAATATGTTCTCAATTGAAAAAACTTTGTTGTTTTTGTATTTAATTAAATACACTGGCTGACATTTTCAGCTAAAAAAAGAAATCTAAAAGTGTATAATTTTTATGTTATATAATGTTCAAATTACAAATTGTATCATGCTGATGACTCAATATTTGTTGTTGCAGCCCTGCAATGTTTTTTCATTTTATGTATATGAATTATAATTTGGTTAATAGAATGTCTGTCCTTGATTCAAGGATCATTGCACTGAATTTCTAGATGTTTTTCATTATATTCATAATAAATATGAATGTCTGACAAAGAAGACTAGTTTAATGACTCTTGATCTCTGTCTCAGAGTTGTAGAGCGAGGCAGAGTGAAGTGTGGACAGTACTGGCCATTAGAGGCTGGGCGCACTGAGGATTATGGGTACTTTTTGGTGAGAAATGTCCATATTGAGATGTTTCAGGACTTTAAGCTGTCACACCTGGAGCTCTTCAACACTCAGGTCAGTCCCTCAGTCTCTGTTTTTATTTTAGTTTAGTTTCATGAGCACTGACTCTGCCATAGAAGTTTGACATAGAAGTTTGTTTCATTTAGCCAGCTGTTTTGACTAGCGACACAAAGTCTGGTCCACTTTTGGGCTTATTCTAGCCAAGAACAGCACAATAACATCACATGCTTATTGTGTAGTTAAAGACATATGTTGATCCTTTTTATATGTATGTTAAAGGTGGGGTAAGCGATTTTTCAAAAATGCTTTAGAAAACTGATTCAGGCCGAATAGCAAAACAAACTTGTAGCCAATCAGCAGTAAGGGGCGTGTCTACTCATGATGTGGAGGAGAGAGTGCTTAGTGCACAGGACGGACATTAGCCGAGCGACAGAAAGATAGAGATGGCGAATAAAAAACAAAAGAGGAAAACATCTGCGGAACAAAAGAAGGCTTAAGTCAAGAAGTAGGACCCGTGTAAATATCGGATCAGCTTTCCAGCGCTGGAGAGAACTCAAAGAGCGGAAGGCCTGCGATCGGACGCCGAGGTTGCTTTGTTTCTTCTTGATAGGTGAGTAACACCGTATCTGCGCCGCAACAGCTAAAGTTTGTCTAGTACACTGGACACGGTCCAGTACACGGTCAAAGTGACTGTTGAAAATCATTTTAAATTTGTGTCAATACGCCATGAATAGAAAGCTGCAGCAGTTTTCTGTCGGGGATTTGTCATGTCGTGCCGCGCCGCGCCGCATCCAGTGTAGACCATAGATATGTATATATATCTATGGTGTAGACAGCATCACTGATTATAATGAGTTCTATAGTATTTTGTCATCCTGCGCCACTCACGTCTGGTGTAGACACAGTGTAACATTGGTTTTGCTTTGTTTCACAGAACTAATCGTTGCCTGGGTTGCGTACGTATGTGTGGGGCGGAGCTATCAAAATAGGGGCTAGACCCTTTTGGGGGAGGGGCGTGTTTATTTTGGTGATTTCAAATGTTAACATTGGCTACCAGAAATCGCTTACCCCACCTTTAATGTCCATAATAATGTCATTGAAACATAAATGACAGGACAAGCTTCTCTTTCAGACAGGGGAAAGCAGGGAATTGTCTCATTACCTCTACATGAGCTGGCCAGATTTTGGTGTTCCGAAGTCAGCGTCGGCCATGTTGGATTTCCAGGCGCACGTGAAACAGAGACAAGAATTCTCATTACGAACACTGTATCCTGATTGGACGGGACCCCCAGGGGGCCCCCCAGTGGTGGTGCACTGCAGCGCAGGCATCGGCCGAACAGGTCCGTTTCGACCTTCATTTTTTATCTCATTGCTTAACAGCACTACAGCGTGTCTTACACTTTTTTTTCTTTTCTTTTTTCTTCACCCTCAGGCACGTTTTGTACTTTAGACATTTGTCTCTCTCGTCTGGAGGACATCGGGACAGTGGACATTAAGCAGACGGTGCGTCACATGCGGACACAGCGTGCCTTCAGCATCCAAACGTGGGACCAGTACTACTTCTGCTACAAAGCAGTGATCGAGTATGCCCAACAGACCGGCCTGCTGCAGCCTGTGGAGTGGTCCGACACTGAGCTGGAGACCGACAGCGAGTGAATCAGGAAAAACAGAACTCGCAGGAGAGGGCGCAGAAGACATGGAAGGAAAAGAAGCCATCTTTTCCCCTCTCCTGGCTACAGGTAGACTCCACCGCTGAGGAACATGTTAGGGAGCGGAGGATGCTTTTGTCCTGCCACTTTTCAAGCCCTTCTTTTTACTCTGATCCAGACGTGATCAGAGACTGTGGCTTGATGTACGAGTTGTAGCATTTTTTTTATATATATATAAATACTGACTTGCACATGTGGAGTGACAAACTTGAAAAATCCAGTTTATCGAATTACCTGCTCTTTTTTTACGTTCTGAGTGTTGTCGAAATTCAATATCACTCAATTTGGGGGTTAAATTCACACTTCTTATCAAAAGTATAAAAGCATAAAACTTGAATATTCTTTTTTTTGTTCTCCGTCACATTAAAATAACAACTTCTTTGCGTCTGAACAGGTTCCAACGGTTTTCTTTCCCGTTTTAGTTGTTGTCATTATTTGTGTACTTCGTTAAACTAATCTTCAAGCCAAAGGTATGGTGTCGAATGCTTGGATGTATCCGTAATGATCATTGTGACTTAAACCCTTGTATATCTTGTAACATACATTTATAATATATATATTGTGCATAACAACCTTTGAAAAGCCTTGTTTTAATATAATACTCTTAACTTTCTTCAGAATTATGTGTATCTATATATAAATATATATATGTATAAGTATATGTTGGGTTAAAACAATATGAAAAGAGGAGGAACAACACAACTATGCTATATATATGTGACCCTGGAGCACAAAACCAGTCTTAAGTCGCTGGGGTATATTTGTAGCAATAGCCAAAAATACATTGTATGGGTCAAAATTATAAATTTTTCTTTTATGCCAAAAATCATTAGGATATTAAGTAAAGATCATGTTCCATGAAGATATTTTGTAAATTTCCTACCGTAAATATATCAAAACTTAATTTTTTAAGTTTTAGATTAGTAATATGCATTGCTAAGAACTTCATTTGGACAACTTTAAAGGCAATTTTCTCAATATTTAGATTTTTTTGCACCCCCAGATTCCAGATTTTCAAATAGTTATATCTCGACCAAATGTTGTCCTGTCCTAATGGAAAGCTTGTTTATTCAGCTTTCAGATGATTTATAAATCTCAATTTCAAAAAATTGTCCCTTATGACTGGTTTTGTTGTCCAGGGTCACATATATGGTATTATCTTGGTGACTGTTCTGGTCCTGCATTTTTGATTTTCATCTAACCGTACTCCATGATTATTCAGCCTTAATGCAGGTCGTCTATCATTCACAGAGCGTCTCAACTGTGAAGATTCTCTCTTAACCTTCAATCACTGCCTTGCTCTCTCTAAACTATGAACTTTGACTTTCGACTCAGCTGGCCTTTTTTTATTTCGACTTGTTTGTTTTTTGTATTTTTAAATCTCCTTCCACTACGGGCCCCAAGTTGGAGTATCCTGGTCCTGATCGGAACGGATGCTGATTCTGTTACCGCGATTATTTAAAGTGTTCCGTACTGATGTGAAGTGTTGGAGTCATTTGTTACAAGTGAACTGGGGTCTTCAGCTGTGTGTGTGTGTTTGTATGGAGCCCTGGGGTCAAAAAGCCCCCGTTTTTGTGCCTTCAAGTTTTCTGTAGCGCAATGTGTAGTTTCAGGCAATGATCAGCTGGTCTCACATGCATATAGGGAATTTATTTTAATCTCAGGGGTATACTTGGTGTTTTCCAGCTCTCAAAAAACGTAATTTGCCTCTCTGGTAATTATCATTTCCAAAAAAAAAAAAAAGTATACAAATTTTATTTTGAATTTTATACAGCGTCCTGTATTATATTCTGTTTTTATTTATGCCTTTGTAGAACTTCAGCAGTATTGAACTTTGAATGTTGGTACGAAAAAATGAACAGACATACTATTTTAAACAGATAAGCTAAAGAAATCAAACCGCATAACAAAAGACTGATCTTTTTTTTTTTTTTTTTTTTTTTTTTTTTTTCTTTTTTCTCTCCATTCAGTTAAGTGTGGAATTGTTACTCATCATTGTGTTATTTTCCCAGATGCCTGTAGCAGAACCTTTTTCATACTCCGTGAACTGTTAAAGGGCCAAGACTGAAGCAGACAAGTGACCGATCAGCACGGCTGCCACTAACAGTTGTAACTATTTGCCAATCAAAACACAGACAGAGGTTTTACATGTAAGGGAAAAAAAAACAAACATATGAACTTGAATGTTATTAGATAAAAATCATGTTGTCTTTGGGAGAACTTTGGAATGCTTTCTCCTTGAATATCAATGCTTGTATGATGACAGATGGTAGTGAATGTGTGAACGTCCCACTCATCTAATGTTTGCTTGTTGACTGACTTATCCAGTGCAGGTGTGTAGAATGTGCTTGACTGTTTTATACAGCTGATTACTGCTCGAATGAGACGTAAGTGGCAGAGACACACTTGGCTCTGGTTTATTAAAGCAGTCGGGAATGCGATATGAGTGTTGTTACTTTTGTTTTTCTTCATTTGGTGCCCAAAGTTCTTGTGATTGAGTAATGGCCTTTTTACCCGACATCTGCAGTAGTGTCGTAGTAAACATGAATATTATTCTGAAACTGAGCATGTGTTTGTGTTAAAATGAGTTGATGAGAACTGAAACGTGAAACAATGACTGTATTGAAATATATAACCATTGTGTTTTCAGAAAGCAGTGATTTATTTCAGAAGTCAAACAGCACATTGCTTTGACTTGTCTCACTTTGGACCTGATTGCTGATTTGAAAGCTTCACACACAGAGTAGTAAATGATTGGCAAAACAGTCGAACTGACGCTTGGAACCAAAGAGATTCCAGCAGAAAGTTGCACAGGAATTGTAAAGTTGTTTTGTTCTTTTTCATTTCATAAGGTGAATGTGTTTCTCAGCTTTTGTAAGGCCTTATAAAAGTGGTTGGAATTAGTTACAAATATGAAAGGCTTACCAGCACTCTAGACAATGTTCCCACAGAGTTGAACTAAACTATTCCCTGTTTATCTAAAATATAAAAAAATAATGGGTGACCGTTGATGGATGGTATAATGCTAAAATGCATCTACATTTTAATAGTAAAGGAGATATAAACAATATTGAAGTATCCTAAACATGAAGTGAATTTGGCACAAAACTTAATCCAAGTTTACTAAAACTAAAAAAATGTTCACTCATTGCTAAATTGTTAGACACTAGGGGGCGCTAACAGCTGTTAATCGATCAGTGTTATTGGCTAAATGCAATGATCTCAGAAAGGTTAAATCAATCATAAATCTTTTTAAACTTCTTTTGGAAGACTACTTTCTTCTTTTGGAAGAAAGTAGTTTCGCTTTCACAACGAAACACACAGCGTCTGCACAACATGGCGGCGGCAGCAACTATAAAGTTACACCTTCTTTCTTTGTGTGAACATTTGGGCAGCGTTATGCAAATCTTCCCACACAGTGACATAGACATGTGGGGGCGTGTTTAAATGAGGCGTTTTAGGGGGGCGTGGACCAGTCTTTAACTTTTATAAAGAATATATCTTTGGTTTTGAGACTTTAGTCTTTGCAACTTCAGGGATCTTATCTATGCACGAACAGCTTGTAACACTCCAAAGAGAAAGGAAAACTTGATATTGCATCATATGACCCCTTTAAAAAAAGTTTGTGGTTTTTGTTAAGTATCATATTGGAGCCATCAGGTTTTTATGGCTCATATAATTTGATATAGAAAGATTATTACTATTCAAGTAAAATACCTCAATTTTATTCATCAGCCTAAATTGAGCAAAATCAAATGCTATTTATATGGCCAAAAATAAGATGAAATTCTGATAGCTTTTAATGTAAATAAGTGGGATTATATAACAGTATAACAGACTACTTACGTAAAATGCGTATGAATATCAGATGTCACTCTGGATCTCCCAATAATGCGTCTTAGTAAAATGATAATGCTTAGTTTTAAAATTCAAAGCTCTGTTTTTATCTTGGAGGCAAAACATGTAATGCAATGCAATGCAATACAAAGAATGAATGAATACATATAAATATTACTCAAAAGTCTTGTATCATATTTGATACTAGCATTGATTTTTTTCTAAAAGTGATATATGCATTGTCAAGTCAACCGAAGTTGCTTCAGTCCAAGAAGTGTTCATCTTGAAATATTACTAAGATAAAATGTACTCTTTCATTTACTTAATAAAAATCAGTAAAGATTTAACAGCAAAAAGATAATACTACAACCTGAAGGTGGACGTTTTTGGAATGACGCTCAACATTAAAAATTATACTAAAAAGTATAAACTATCAGTCAGATGACAAAAGGCCTGTAGAAGTTTTTTCAGCAAAGTTTTGATCATATTGATCATTTAAAGGCCTTTATGTATCAAACATAATATTTTATAGGGTTAAAAAATTTGAGTATTGTTTATTTTTGCTGGTCAATATAAACCAATCACTCATCAGGAAGAATGGAAAGTGCCTCAAAACAAGTTCTTACCATTTTATTTGTAACAAATAAAACTTTTTCCAATACAATTGTATTCTCACACATCTGTCCGTACAACATAAAGTAGGAAAATTAATAAAAAAAGAAAACGTCCTCTGAAATATTTACATTTACTACAAAAATCAGAGGTAAAAGATTTCCCTTTTGTGTTTCACATTAATTGTTGATGGGTGAAATTGTAAAACCACTCACAACATTCGACAATATGAAAATGGATATTTGGTCAGATTACATGATACAGATTGTGCTAGTTTATTTTTCACATGATTCATCCAAATCTGATGGTGCCTTCGCATCTGTACAAATGGTGACTGTCGCGCACTGGAAAATAGATGACTTCTTTTTCTCTCCCAAAACATTGACATTGAGATTAGCATAGACTGTCCCATTAAACAAATGCTAATCCTCTTGAAATATAAGCACAGCTAGTTTCAACAAAAGTTGAAATTTGAAAACCCCTGAAACTTGGTTGTGATATTAATACGCTGTAAGATGATGTAACAATATGGAGAAGGTAGATAGTGGACGATTTGCATGTTAGATTTTCAAATACAAAACTAACTCAACTCTGGTTTAAAAAATAAAAGTACATAAAGACAAAGATGCTGCAAAGAAAGTAAAACATTTCCTTAGAGCGAAAGGGAAATGAGCTGAAGTTTGCAGTGACCAGACTTCCTTGGGAATTACTGAATGATGACTATTACCGCTGGACTAGAAGGTAAACCACTCATATTAAACAACCCTGTCATCTAAAGGTTTCAACAATAACATTATGCACATATTGTCTCTTAAGCTTTGGAACCAAAACTTGTTTCTCTTAACATGCACACACTGTGAAATTCATCTCATTCAGTACAAACAACATTCTGTGTTGAAGAAATAGTAAGGGTTAGTGCATAGAACAACAGTGCGGTCATATCCAAAACCATAACCATAAGACTGTTATGGTCCATGACGTTGATACAGAGGGCCATTTTTATGTGCGAGTTTGTTGCCAAAGTTGTAGATCTAATTCATCATGCATTGATGTTTTCTGAATCAAATTCTGGACATCCAACTGTGAAAAGTGAAAAGTCTTTTAAAATGTCATTGAGTTTGAAGTGACTAGCTCAGAGTTTTGAAATCCCCCTTTCAAATGCATCTTCACCAGCATGAAAAATTGCCTTTTTGTTGTTGATGTTAACACACTAACATCATCGATACTATCACAACGCTGATAAACAAGAACACAGACAGTAACAGTGAGAAATGAACGTTTCCTGCAGCGGTATGGACTGAAAGTGAGAAAACGATTTCCTGCTCTATACTCCATTATAATTTCAAATACGAATCATTTATAATATAATAGCTATTATATATGTAATGGAATATGCAGTTCTCTTGGCCCAATATAGATACAATAAACGTGCGTCCTTTCAAAAATGGACACATACACTCTAAAAAATGGTGGGTTAAATATAACCCAGCGGTGGGTTAAAAAGGGACAAACCCAGCTATTGGGTTGTTTTGAACCAGCGGTTGGGTTGTTTTGGCCCAACTGTTGGGTTGTTTTGACCCAGCGGTTGGTTTGTTTTGACCCAGCTATTGGGTTGTTTTGACCCAGCGTTTGGGTTGTTTTGACCCAGGGTTTGGGTTGTTTTGACCCAGCTATTGGGTTGTTTTGACCTAGCGTTTGGGTTGTTTTGACCCAGCTATTGGGTTGTTTTGACCCAGCTATTGGGTTGTTTTGACCCAGCTATTGGGTTGTTTTGACCCAGCGTTTGGGTTGTTTTGACCCAGGGTTTGGGTTGTTTTGACCCAGCTATTGGGTTGTTTTGACCCAGCTATTGGGTTGCCAGCCGAAACTTCCCTCCTCTCACCTGTTCTCCTCCTTAAACGTCCTCCAGGTGGTTTGACCCAGCGGTTGGGTTGTTTTGACCAGCGGTTGGCTTGTTTTGACCCAGCGGTTGGCTTGTTTTGACCCAGCAGTTGGGTTCAAAACAACCCAACCGCTGTGTCAAAACAACCCAATAGCTGGGTTTGTCCCTTTTTAACCCAGCATTTTTTTTAGAGTGTATTGGCTTTCAGTAATATCTTTGTCTAGTCATCTTGGCAGTACTTTACTTGAATGAATAAACCACCCTGGTACTTAAAATTGGTCTTGATGTGAAATATATATTCAGATTCACTCTGATGGATATAACTATTTAATTCGGTTGTATTATCTCTCTCTCTCTTTTTTTTTTTTTTTTTTTACATAAAAGAAGGTTCATATCCATAAATTTGGAACATATAATTTTAATGTGGAACATATAACTTTAATAGCAAACTATTTTAAACATGTGACTATGATAAGGCACTACCAGTGTCAAATGATCCATTGTTCTTGTTTTAAACGTGTCACCTCATGTTTAGAGAGTTTGGTGCCATTTAGCTTCAACATTTGAACTTCCAAACCTGATTGAAAGCATCTGTTATGGTAAGTTTAATAATAAAAAAACTCTTTAAATGTTACTGTAATCAGTACTTTTCGTAACTTATGTGCACTGACAAGTACCTCACTCACATAGTATAAATATCAATCAATACATTGACAGTTTTTTTATATATATATATATATAATGTGCTAATATGCATAATAACATTTTGTTTTATACTTTATATCATATTGGATTAATGAGACGATATAATTACAGTGAGAATATCTCTAATACTTGAGTGGTTTTAAACTTGAAAGTGCAGTTCACGTTCAATATTGCACAGATTTTAAACAAATCTCCATTTTCAGCTTGTTAATTTTCTTTGTTTTAAATCTGTGATAGATATGCATGTATATATCTAAGTGTGTGTGCTACAGATAAACGAACAGGATACTGGCATAAGCACCAATACTTCTGGTGTGGTTGAATTTCCTCTTAAGTGAGTTGGTGGCTCCACTATCCACAACTGGTGACAAAAAACAGTGGAAACTCTAAAACTGGACTGCATCCCTCAATAAACCGTGTTTTTTTTTTGGGGGG